ATATAACATCCCAGACTTAACAATTGTTGATAAGAAAGACAAAAAAGTCTGGACAGTGGACATTGCAATACCTAGTGACAGCAGAACAGAAGAAAAATAACTGGAGAAAATCACAAAATACAAAGACCTGTAAATAGAAATAGAATAACTGTGGCAAAAGAAAGCAAAGATACTGTAGTACCAATAGTAATAGGCACTTTAGGTGCAATCCCAAAACAACTGGAGTACCACTTGAACACCATGGGCATTGACAAAATCACCATCAGTTAATTGCAAAAGGCAGCTCTACTTGGAACAGCTTCCATCCTGCGACGGTATCTTTAACATCATTAAACAAAATCTGCCTATCCCAGGTCCTTGGGAAGGACTTGATAGGTGGATAAAAATGCCAATCCAGTCTAAACATCTGGCTGACTGCGCGACCGACAATAATAATAAAAGATACAGCTAGGCCTAAGCCAAATGTGGTTAGCTAAATCAACATTATTCTCCTTACACTGGTGGGATAACGTACAAATGAGTGAAAAGGCGTAGTTAAGGATAAAATCAGATAGGTACTTTTGAACTGTGCACTTGTGACAGGTCATCTTACTTTGTTTTAAAAAATAAAGGAGACCTCAGTCTGAACTGTGACCAAATTTAACTTTTCTTCCTTAGACCTTTCATGCTGAAAATCACATTCCTTCCCCAGCTGCTAAACTGGGTTAATGATTTAAACCAAAGTCAAAAACATTTGCTAGTCCTAGCTGCCATTTCACCATCTTGGATAATAGCTGAAATCTGCCCAAGCTATGCACAAATGGGGGAGGCATTTCCTAACAGGAAAAGGCATAGAAAGCAAGACTTAGCCCCCACCCCACCCCGCTTCAGTGTCAATCGCATTTGGACTCTCATGTTTATAACTGGCCGTGTTTCTTGTCTATAGAACACTGTTATGGGCCGTGATGGTTGGGAATTCTGGGGATTGGAGTCCCAGATACTTGGCTTGGTGTCAGGTGGTGGAAGGCTCTATACAGGTACACTCTATTTTGTTAATTCCATTTTGCTTCCATGAAATATATGAATTAGTAGACAGAATCACTTACTGACTGCCTCATTTAGTGACCATCTGGAGTTACAACAGTGTAAAGAAAAACAGCTTTGTGACCAATCCTTGCATTTACAACCATCACAGTGTCCCATGGTCACATGATCGTGCTTCCCAACCAGCTTGTGACAAGCAGAGTTAATGGAGAACGCAGAAGTAAAATTGCAAGTCACGGTCACATGATATTTCACTTAACAGCCATGATAACTTGCTTAACAATCAAATGGCATCATAAGCCACGTGACATCATAAGCCCGTCCTTGTCACGTGATTTTCCAAGTAGCAACCGCGGCACTTAGTGACAGAGTTGCTGGTCCCAGTTGTGGTTGCTAAGCAAAGACTACCTGTAAATCACTTTTCTGAGGGAAAAGCTGCTGAGGGAAAAAACAAAAAACAAAAAAGATAGAGATCTACTTTTTAAAAAATGTTATGGCTGAATGGGCAAGCTTAGTTCACCACAGCAGCCCTGTTATAACAGTTGCTGTTACAATCTCCTCCTTCTACACTCACTGAATCAGGGAACGGATGCAGGGCAAATTCTTTATGTTCTTGGCTCTGAATGTCGTAAATATATCACCCTCCCTGTCAAGGGCACTTTTTCAGCCAAGAAAGCTCCTATTTGGAGAGATAGCTAATGTGTGTATACGTGTGGGGTTCCTCTTCCACCCACTTTGTTCACAGATGTCAGAGAGCTTGCTTTGAAAGTCTCCTTTTGGCAGCCTGTTTCTGTTTCCACAATTAGCTGAGGCAAGTGTAACGTTGTCAACAGCTGCCAGAACCGCAGGGAGCAGAGCAGTGTTTTGTGGCTGCTGCGTCCCTTCTTAACTGAGATACTCCTTTTCGCAGCATTGTGGCCACGTAAGCTAGACTGCACGAGGCTCATCTGAGAACAATGTGTGGCCCACTGCAAGTAAAGAGGCTGGAGGTTAACTAGCTGCATCTCAGCTTAACGCAGCTTTCCGTCCTCCTGGCCTGAGGTGTAAAGCTCGCCCTGCTTGCCAGGGAAATTGTCCTGAATTTTCTGCCTGATGCTGGAGTCTAGGCGGACCTGGGCTAGCAGGCGGACCTGGCACCAGTTGCTGCAGTACTCAGGGAGGCAAGAGCAGAGAGACTTCTTTCTCAGTCTCTTTCTTCTGATATTACATTTTACATTGTGAGTTACCATGACAATGCACACTTTATTCATTTATTGTTATTTATAGAAAAGGACAAGCTAGAGATGATGTAGGTTTAAGACGTTACAACTTAGCTGCACAAATTATCTCCTTAAAACAACAGCAAGAACAAAGGTATCTTCAGCACACTTTTTCACTACAGTGGGCAGACAGCCTCTAAGACTCTCCCACAGAAATTGAGGGGGCTGCGTATCTGCCTGTCTGTCTGTCTGTCCATCCATGCAAGAGAAGAGTTCTAAAAGTTTCTCAGATGTGGGGCTTATCATAAATGGTAACAGACCCCTCACCCACTAAAGTGTTCCTGTTATAGTTATCACAGTTGCCACAATTGGAGGAAATGTGTGGGTAGCTTGACCACTATTTTATATCTTTCCCAATCTTATGACTCTTCTGGCACAATCTGTGTGGAAGAAAATGGCATGAACACCAACATAAGATACAAAATATTCTCTCTCTCTCTCTCTCTCTCTCTCTCTCTCTCCCCCCCCCCCCCCCGGGGG